GAACAGCACGAACGCCGGAAAACTGTTCCGCAGATTCCTTTAGGGTAAAAATACCTTTCCCTATGGCGTGCCAATTCCACCCCTAGGTATTTCCCAAGAGAAACGGAGAGGTACGTCCACAGAAAGACAGACAGGAATGTTAACGGCGCCTTTCTCCCAGTAACCCGAGCCGGAAACCACAGCATCGAAACGATCATGGTGCCGTCACACGAGGATGAGGACACGGGACGGAGCCAGCAATACGAAGGCTGGAACGCACGATCATTCGGCTGAGAGGGAAGGGAAACGCGAGAGCACAGCTGTGTGGTTTCACGTACGCGTGAAATTCAAGGGCTGGCAACGGAAGCCCCGGGGCTCCAAGTCAGGCTGCCGTGGGGACCGGAGCCGGGAGCACGCAGGGTCGTTCCGAGGGACAGGTCTCTGCACTTGACTGGGGTGTTAGTTACACAGGCGTGTGAGCTGTCAGACATCGCAGATTACCCATGTTGTGCACAAATTTCACACAGAAATCTTGTACTTTGCTGCATGTAAATTCTGCCGCCATTTTCAAAACCTGAACAAACTATAATGAGATGCAACTACATGGACGGACCTTAACAACAGTAAGGTTTAAAAGTTCCAAAATACTACGTACAGTGATACCCGTTTTATAAAGTTAAAAAGGACCGAAGTTAAAAAATTTTTTTTTCAGATTTGTATAGATACAAAATACTTATTTTAAAAGGAGAGCAAGGGAGGAGGAGCACAGAATTTGAGCGGAAGGAGGCAGGGGATACGCATGGTCACCTGCGAGACGTGAGAGGCCTGGGCTGGCTCTTGTTTTAGGTGGCAGGTCCATGGGTGTTTGTAACACTATTAAAATAAAAAATATAGGTGTGGAGTCGTAATTAGGGAAAAGAAGTCAGGCTCAGGGGAGCAGGGGAAGCAAAAAGAAAAAGCAGATTCCTCATGGTCCAGGACACACAGCATTTCTGCACAAATAACTCACCCAACTCACAATCTTCCTCTGCCCAACTCATCAGCAGACCCTCGGCTGAGAGAAAAATACACCTTAGCTCCCTGCAACCTCGGTGTTACCAGCACTGCTCGTGGCCCTCTCCAGCACAAGCACCACCTCTAAAACCCCGGCAAGCTCTGTCTCCGGCCAGTCAGCTCCTCTCTTGCTGACGTGCCCGTTGCTTTCTTGCAACCTATCTCCATGTTTTCTCAAATGAATCTGCCTTTCTTGACCTACAACTGTCTTGGTGAATTCCTTTACCACCTGCACCACTGGCCTCGGTTAGTCGCTACCCAGGAAAACAGGTACCGTTATAATCACAGAGACGAACAAAACGGGCCGTGCTTGAACAAATGATGAGAATGTGTCCTGAACCAAGGGGCCTGATCAGTTTGATTCTGGGCTCCTGAGATCCTAAGATCTAAATGTGAAAAGGAGAAAAAGGGGCCGGACGCCGTGGCTCACGCCTGTAATCCCAGCACTTTGGGAGGCCGAGGCGGGCAGATCACGAGGTCAAAAGATCGAGACCGTCCTGGCCAACACGGTGAAACCCCGTCTCTACTAAAAATACAAAAATTAGCTGGGTGTGGTGGCGGCGCCTGTAGTCCCAGCTCCTCAGGAGGCTGAGAAAGGAGGATCGCTTGAACCCAGGAGGCGGAGGTTGCAGTGAGCCGAGATCGCACCACTGCACTCCAGCCTGGGCGACAGAGTGAGACTCCGTCTCAAAAAAAAAAAAAAAAAAAAAAGAATGAGAAGAAAGAGAAATCATAATGGACATTAGGAAACATAACTGAATAATAACTAGAGCTTTATATTCAAATTTACGGACACCCCCACAGTACTAAGTTCTCCATAAGAGGAAAACCAGTTGCTTAAATCTTACATTAGAAAACAAAAGCCTGGAGAGGAGGGGCCCAGCCCAAGGGTTAGGAACACAACAGCAGCATGAGCGCAAATAAAGCAGAAGCAAAACCACAGGTGGGAAAGTAAAGAAATAAAGGGACTTAGCAGCGAAGGAGGCCAAGGGCAGCCGTAGGGGTGGAAAGGGGAACAGCCTCCGAGGCGGGAGGGCCTGGGGCGCTACAGGCCGTGCTCAGAGCGCCTGGCGGCTGCGAGGGTTCTGCGGCCCGGCTACCGCTGCGTCCCTGTCCCCTCGGTTCAAGGATTGGCAGCGAGGACGAGAACGGCCAGGCTTGTCTAACCCTCCCCATGGCCCCAGGGTTGCCACAACAACACTGCAGGGCTGGCGAAGCGGAGGCAGAGCCTTTGGGCCGTCCCTGCCTGCAGCATCCGCCCCGCCTTGGCCCTTCTCATCCCAGCCACACGCGCCCCCTCCTCTCACCTGAGGCCCCAGTTCAGAACCCTCGGGCCAGTTCCAGGAAGGCCACGTGGCTTCCTGTGCATGTGGACGGCCACGCGGCAGTTCCCAATGAGGACGGGAGTCGGGGGACGCGGCCAGTTCCCCAGCGAGGACGGAAGTCGGGGGACGCGGCCGGTTCCCCAGCGAGGACGGGAGTTGGGGGACAGGAGGGGGCCAGACAGAGGCTCTCCACCCTGAGAACCCTGCAGGGCGAAGGGAAAAGAAAACCTGGCCAGCTCAGAAGCAGGCAGCGCTCTAAGAACCGCTGGACCTCCTGGGTGGAGCTGCTCTGCAGACCTTGTCATAGACATTTCGTTTGAACATTTCCAAGAGGCCTGGAACCCAAATCATTGTAATGAACGAGACATTTAAAGTCTATTTTCTTTAAAAGCCGGGCTTCTTGTTTTCTTTGTCTTATTCTGCTGAAGTTTCCAAGAACACAAACAACCGAGACGAGGACACGCAGAGTGTGCCAGGAGGAAACGCCGAAGAGAACACAGCAGCGTGTGCCAGGAGGAAACGCCGCGTCAGGCACTGATCGATCAGAGGCCGGCGGGGAAGGGCGTAAACTCAGCGACGGCCGCCCGAGCACCCGCGGGTCCCTCGCAGGACCGGTGCCACGTTTAGACAGGGCTCTGTAAGGACTCACCCCTGCCCCTTAGGAACCTGGCCATGGGACAGTCACGGGGAGGCCTTCCACAGCCTTTCCGGACACCTGAGCCCACCTAATAGGCTCGAGGACAAGCCGGCCAGGCGCTGTCGCGTGACGAGAACGGCGTGCAGCGAGGCCCCACTCTGACAGCAGTGGGTGTGGGGCGGGTCCCAGGGAGGATGGAGACGCTTCATGAGCAAAAGGTGAAGATCTGTTTAAACTGTCCTCAGTTGCCAACCTAGAGGTCAGGAACCGTATCTGTCCTGCTCTAACGCCCTCTGCACATACTGGATCCAGAGTGAGTTTCAGGTGACGTTCACACTGGTCAGCCGGGCAAAACCCCGGCGTCCTTCCAGGATGTTCACCTCTCGTCCTCACCAACTCCACCCGGGAAGCTGCCCACAGGCCCAGCCTCACAACATCTGCAGACCTGCTCCTGAGCCAGGCACGGGGGCCGGACGACGGGTCAGACCAGGCCTGGCCTCCGACCCAGACCGAGCTCGGGGTCCCAGCACGCTCTGGTTCCCAGGCCTCCCTCCTCCTGTGGGGCCTTCATGATGTTGCTGCTTCAATGCACCTTCAATACGAGACAAAGACACCCCCGCGGCAGGGAATCAAACCCCTGAATACAAGGAAACGCGTTTTTGATGTTGTTCTCTCTAGACACGGACAAATGAGACCACGGATCTGTACACAGCTTCATCTCTCTGCCTCATAAATTCGTCTGTCTTTCTACTTTTTCTGCTTTTCCCAGGGTCCTTCCTCTTCTGTTGTGGTTTTGGTTTTTGGTTTTTCAACTATGAAGACCAAATCTAAACCCTGTGATAAAGTCTGAAGACCCAGGGCAGTATCTGTGTGTCCCACACTGAACCCCAAATAAAGCAGAGGTTGTGTGCCCCATTTGTTCCTCCCAGACACCCCACCAGTCACCAGGAGGGCAAGCGTGCCACGGCCAGCTGGTCTTATGCATCCCAGGGCAACTGGCTGCTGCCCGCAGCTTACCAAAGCTTTTTGTTGTTGTTTTTGAGATGGAGTCTCGCTCTGTCGCCCAGGCGGGAGCGCAGTGGTGCGATCTCAGCTCACTACAACCTCTGCCTCCCGGTTCAAGTGATTCTCCTGCCTCAGCCTCCTGAGTAGCTGGGACTACAGGTGCGTGTCACCACGCCCGGCTAATTTTTGTAGTTTTAGCAGAGACAGAGTTTTGCCATGTTGGCCAGGCTGGTCTCGAACTCTCCTGACCTCAAGTGACCCGCCCACCTCGGCCTCCCTAAGTGCTGGGATTACAGGCATGAGCCACTGTGCCTGGCCTTTTCTTAGTGTTTTCTTATCAACCTTTATTAATCAGTAAGGTTATTAATCTTTTAAGTACTATATTTTCCGATTTCATCCCAGTTTATCTTCATTTTGCTTACATCGCTCTCTGCTGTGCAATTTTACATTTTTATATCATTGTACTTATCATGATTAACTCATTAAGTGCAATTAAACAGGAACAACCTATTGACCTTAATTTTTAAGGTTGTCTAATAACTTTGATATGGCTGGGCTGTGTCCCCACCCACATCTCACCTTGAATTGTCGCTCCCACAATTCCCACGTGTCGTGGGAGGGCCCCGCTGGGAGGCCACTGAGTCACGGGGTGGGTCTGTCTTTTCTAGTGATACTGGGTGAGTCTCAGGAGAGCTGACGGACTTCAAAGGAGGAGTTTCCCTGCACAAGCTGCCTTCCTCACCTGCCGCCACATCAGACACGCATGACTGTGAGGCCGGCCCGGCCACATGGAACTGCGAGTCTATTCGACTTATTTTTCTTTATAAATTACCCAGTCTCGGCTGTGTCTTCATCAGCAGCGTGAAAACGGACTAATACATTATTAGTCTAATAACCATTAGAAAAATGATTTTCAAGACCCACACTAAAATGTAAGATCATTTAATTACTCAACCAACATGTACACGTGTATACATTACAAACGAAAGAAAGTTACTTACCGAATCCAAAAAGCAAAGGTAAGACCCTGAGCTCTGGGCAACTGCTTGATTTTTAGAGTATCCGACTGTGGAAAAAAGAAGAGCAAAACTCTTTTGTAATTCAGTTTCCTGCAGCAATTCTCTTTCCAAGAGCTTAGTATACGATATTCTTTTTTTTTCGAGATGGAGTTTCCCTCTTGTTGCCCTGGCTGGAGTGCAGTGGTGCAGTCTCAGTTCACCGCAACCTCCGCCTCCCGGGTTCAAGCGATTCTCCTGCCTCAGCCTCCCGAGTAGCTGGGATTACAGGCATGCACCACCACGCCTGGCTAATTTTGTATTTGGGGTTTCTCCATGTTGGTCAGGCTGGTCTCGAACCCCCAACCTCAGGTGATCTGCCCACCTCGGCCTTCCAAGTGCTGGGATTACAGGTGTGAGCCACCGCACCCGGCCAATATACGCTATTCTCTAAGAAAGCTAGGAACATTTTGCACTGCCACCAAAAACGTGGGTCAGCTGTCAAAGGACTGAAAGGAAAGTCAGAGAGAGAGAATATTCCACCTCTGGTAGGTGGCATAACGAGAACAAGGATAAAACACAGAGTCCACCGGGCACTTCGTTAAAGTCTGATATGCTCACTGAAGGAAAAAAAATGAGATGGACCTTCACTGAGTACAGCACGAAGCTAAGTCCTGCAAATATTTTTTTAAACAAAATTAAAATACCCCTGGAAGGAAGTCTGCAAAGTCTACTCTGATGAAAGTCAGGATCCAGTCACAAGGGGAAGTTGGGGGCTGGACACTCGGCAGGTGGTTTGTGTGTGTGTGACGGACTGGAGGTCACTGGGCTGGACGCTCGGCGAGCAGTTTGCATGTGCGTGATGGGCTGGTGGAGGTCACTGGGCTGGACGCTTGGAGGGTGATTATCTTGGCGTGCATCTCTGTGATGAGCTGAATGTGCGACCAGCATCCCCAACACCAGAGTGGGTGCACGTCCCATGACAGACACCCACAGCGTCAACCCAGCAGAGCTCAATCTGCACGGCCACCGAGGGCAGTGGTGTCGTCAGAGCTCAAAACTGGGAACGACCCAAGCGCAGAACGGAAAAGCTGGCAACACACACGACAAGAAGGCACCTCCAGGGCTGACACACAGTGTGGGTGCCTCTCCCAGGCTGCTGGGCAGAGAAGGGAGCGGCTGCCGGGTAGGGGCACTGGCCCGGAGCACAAGGGCAGCCGAAATTCTTCTGTGCTGTGAGAAACTAGGAACTGCCCTTGGGGAAAGGGGGTGACCAGCGGGACCCGAGGGGCTTCTGGGGGCTGTGATCTTCTGTTCTTCCTCAGGGTCCCGGTTACATGGTGTGTTCAGCTTGCGAACCTTCATCCAGCCGTACGATGACGATGTACACTTTTCTGTGTGGATATTATATTTTAACAGGAGTTCCAAAAAGTCTTTGTCTTCAAAGATATCACAACTGAGCTGGAAAAAGAGCTGAACGACGACCTAGGGTTAAATGCCAAATGAACGGGATTGAAAGCAGGGAAAGGGAGGCTTAGCGGGTCCCTGTCAGGGAGCTGTGGCAAGAGCCTGAGGCTGTTAAGAATGTGAACCGGCAGGAGCAGGCAGCCCAGGGCAGACCACCATCCAGGGTGCCGCTCTGTGGGCGGTGGGCCGTCTGGGCAGACAATATTATTTGGGGCAGCCTATGTTTGGGAAAGCAGGCACTGGGCAGCTCCGTGGGAACCGCCTGTTGGGCAAAGAAGGTTCAACTTCCCCCTGCAGGCAGGGGTAGCCAAGGAAGGCATCTGAACCAAGAATAACCAGCAGAAATGGACGTGTGGCAGGCTCAGCTTGGATGCGACAGCAGGGTGGATCAGAGGCGGCATTTAGCCCAAAATGAGGATGCTGAGGGGGCTCCAAGGGGCAGGATACCCACTTTCCCTAGAAGCGAGGCTGGTAGCACCGTACAGTTACGGATGTGACGGCAGCCAGGAAAGTCACACAAAGCAAAACAGACGCGCACAGAAGTAAACAATAAATCCCTCTGGTCCAAACCAAGACAAGCTGCAGAAAGTTGTGGGTCTGAGGGGACAGAGGCCAAGTGTGCATTTCAGCCACGCCCGTGTCCCTCTCCCGTTTCCACTACATGGAGGGGCAGGCAGGGCTCCCGCCGCACGGGGGCTGCCCTGTTCCAGGAGGGGGGGCATTGGCAAACTCACGGCACCACTGGGACTGCACAGCTGCACAGAAGTGAGACGCAGAGTCGCCCACCCTCTCTGTGTTCTCCCACCCAGAGCAGTGCCCCTCTGCAGGGTGGGGGGCTTTGGACCAGGTAGCAGTTTAACTTCTAGCATTAATCCCTAAAGTTTAGCCAGCTCAACCCAGTTAGCCAGATGATCTCAGATGTCAAAAAGCCAGGGGCATGAACAGGTGCAGGGAAGAGATGCACCCGGGGTGGCGAGCACCTGCTCTGCCCTGGGACGGACGGTGGGCCGTGTCTCCACAGCGGCTGCAGCCGAGCCTCCATCATCGTGCAGAGCACGGTGAGTGCCCGGAAGCTCCCCACGAGAAACACAGGCGGAGGGCACCTGTGAGAGCGAAGGGCCGGAAGGGGCCTTCCACAGGCACGCCGCAGTCACCAGGGGCTCCGCTCACAGCGTGGCTTGTCAGTGTCAGATTTCAGGGGAGAATGGTATCCGTGAACCTGGGTAACGAGGGAAGACTTATCTCACTAAGGAAGCTGGAAGTTTCTCACAATGAATCCTGTGTTTGGCAAAGACAAGGAATTTGCTTTAATATTATTGCCTTGAAGAAAGTCAAATGTTTGTGCGGGGCTCCTGTTTGGGGAGGCCGGTCCCTTTGTGAGGGGATCTGGTTGCCATGGTCTCGGCAGGAAAAACTCACAAGGAGGCGAGATATTAACATTCCTTCCTCCTGGAGAGAAGAGGGTGGGATTGGGCTTCATTTTGGGTTCAGTGAGTGGCCACATTATTAGGAAACGCGGTGCCGAATTGTAATAAATGAACCAAGCCATTTCAAACACCCAGCACTTCTGAAAAGAGAGACTTTGGATCTATGTTATCTAACGGTCAGTGTAACTCTCCCTATTTAAGAAAAAATATTATTACAGGAAACTATGTCCCTTTCAGCTATAACCAAACCAACCCCATTTTATCAAAGTGTAGAACAGGGTCCTCGTGAGGTCTCCTTACCCACCTTCAGACAGGAAGCAGGACAGCTCATCTCAGACCTTCACCTTGGTCTTTCAGAACTTTACCACAGATCGCTTTTATTGTTGATAGAATTCATACAAATGGGATGTGACTCAAGTTAGAGCTAAGCTATAAAAAGTATTTAATGAAAAGCAAAATGTTTTGAATATGGACGAATGTTTTTAGACAAGGAGTGTCACAACAGTCACCAAAATACTTTAAATTTGTTTTCATCCAACTATAAAAGATGCAAAACACCCTCTAATATTCTTTAACTTAAAAGAACATTAGGCCGGGCACGGTGGCTCATGCCTGTAATCCCAGCACTTTGCGAGGCCGAGGCGGGTGGATCATGAGGTCAGGAGATCGAGACCATCCTGGTCAACACGGTGAAATCCCATCTCTACTAAAAATACAAAGAAAATCAGCCGGGTGAGGTGGCAGGCGCCTGTAGTCCCAGCTACTCGGGAGGCTGAGGCAGGAGAATAGCGTGAACCCAGGAGGTGGAGCTTGCAGTGAGCTGAGATCCGGCCACTGCACTCCAGTCTGGGTGACAGAGCGAGACTCTGTCTCAAAAAAAAAAAAAAAGATTATTAAAGGATGTTTATAGTAGTTTCAAAAACCAGTTTGTCTAAACACATTTCAGAAGCAAGTTGAAACATTCTACCAATTTATAAAGAGTTTTCTATTTTAAACCCACAAAAGATAATGAAAATAAGACACAACTCGGGAAAACATCTTCCAAATACACAAGATGACGATGATGACCGAAAGCTGCCAACACCTCCTGAGTGCCCACCGTCCATCCCAGGGCAGAACAGGCACTCGCCTCCCCGGGTGCATTTCCTCCCCGCGCCTGTTTATGCCCCTGGCTTTTTGACACCCTGCCGAGTGCCCGCCGCCTGCACCTGTTCTGGACACCCTGCCAAGGGCCCGCCGCTGGGACCTGTTCTAGGCACCCTGCCGAGCGCCCACGGCCCGCACCTGTTCTAGACACCATGTGGATTAGCTCATTTCACACCTCACAGTGCTCCAAGACGGGTACTGACTACCACGGCCTGTTCACAAATAAGGAAACAGAGGCAGAGCGAGGCGGCCGTGGAGCCGACTCCACCAGCCTGGCCCCACTAGCCTGGCCCCACACCTGAGTCTACTTCACTCCTACATCTTCTGAGCCCCAAAGCGCTGCAGGAGAAGAGCTGGGGCCGCGAGCTGCTCCTGTTCACTGAGACACCCCGCGGGTGAGCCTGTGATTATGTGAATCTCACAGATCTGAACAGGACCCAACAGAGGACTTAACTCCACAGGCTCTCACATAGGGACATTCCAGAGGGACTCTAAACCCTCAGCCGCTTGCCCCTGAAATACGTCGTAGCTATGAGACTCCCTCAGGACCAAGTCCACTGGGGCGGAGCCACCCATTCCTGAGCACATTCTGAAGCAGTGGCTCCTGATCCTGGATGCATCTCAGAATCTTCTGGAAAGCTTTGAAAAGCCCAATGCTCATGCTGCACCCCAGACCGATTACATGAGAATATCTCAGGGTGAGACTCAGGCTTGGTTTTATAAAACTCACTGATGATTCTAACATGCGGCAAAGGGGACGACCATTATTTTAGAGAAGCTGTGACTCCTAAAATCCATAGCAACCTGTCCACCAACTAAAAATGTCTCATCTGCCAACCTCGACTTTTTCGGCCCCATGCAATGGAGGCAGGCATATTTTTTTCAAGTCTTACACGGAAACTTTAAAGTCGAACTAAAAGCACCCTGATCTATTACAATCAAAGCTGAGAACACAAGCTAATCATTCAACATAAAAACAGAGGGTGAATGAAGAAACCTCGACACATCTTGACCCAGTATCATGAAATTTC